GCTCGCTCATGTCACGGCTGGGCAAGCGACGCCCCTGCACAGGTCTTTCTGGCGTCGCTCTCATCTTGCTTATTAAATACCTGAAAATATTAGCCCACATTCACGTCAGAACCACACTTGTGAATCGCAGCCAGAGGCTGGCTGTGCGTACAGGATTTCAGCAAAAATCCACAAGAGCCTTCTCTGAGGATGATTGTATGGGATTGATGGTAAAGAGTACTGTGCATGATTTCTGAGTTGTGTACTACACATCTTTATGTAGATCATATTTTTAAAATACATAGGTATTACACCACTGTTAATCTTTATAATTCACCTCCCCTGGACCAGGAGAGGAGACGGTCTCCAGTTTTGGTCCTCTCCGTTCTGACCGGGATTTGAGGGCAGGAGGGTCTCTTCCTCCCAGTTCTGAGTCCCTCCCACTTCAGGGCAGCCCCCGGAAATCTCCCTTTGTGAGTGGGGGTTCTCCTCCCTTCCCAGACCATCTCCTTCCATACTGGTTCTTCAAGTGGCATTTCCCCGGCAGCCCAGCAAAACCGCCTCTTGAGGTCACAGCTCCCTCAGGCTCTGTTTTCTGGAACAGGTGCATCCGGGGGCTTTGGATGTGGCCTCCTCCCCCTCGACTGAGCGGGCTCCAGGCTCCAGACCTAGGGGTCTGGCTCTTCGCATGGGGGCTCCAGAATCGGAAGGAGCCGGAGGACTGCGGGAGACAGGAGGTGTGGGGCGGGGGCATTGTGGACCGAGCAGAACATGCCTCGTCAATCCAGGGGAGATCCAGGCTGCGCCCACCCAGGGTCCCGCCACCGATATCTTTGTTGACCCTGTGTGGCGGGCGTCGGGCCAGCAGGAGCACCGAGCGGATCAAAAGGTGGATGGGTGGGGGTTTCCAGTCCTTCCCCCCACCCACCACAGGGACTGCAGCTTCTGTCTCAAAGACCTTTGTGGTTCCAGCTTTCTGCTTTGCCTAAGACTCGTTCGGTTGGAAAGCAGCACCAAGAAGGAAATAAACATGGCTCATCATCCCACCTCCCGAAGCTAACCACCACCCACGTGCCACCAGCTGCTGTGTATCTGTCGCCTCATCGTTAAAAAACGTGTTTTGCAATCTCATCTATTTTTTATGCATATACAACACATCCACAAGAGCACGCATTTACACTATTGGGATTATATAGTTTCTATTGCTATGTCACATTGTCGTCTTATTGTCCGTAAACAATTGGTTACATTGCTCCCTTGTTACCAAGTGTTCTCGCCACAGTTTGAATGGCTGCATACTGTTTCATTGAATGGAGACTTTATCCTGGTTCCCTTGCAAATATTTGCTCAGCCCATCGTGATTTATTCTTTGGCCCATTGACAAATACAGCCCCCGCCCCCCTCCCGGTCACCCTGTTCTTGACTCCTGCTTTGGCCGCATCGCGGTAAGGGGCGGGGTCCTGCTTGCTCCCCACCGTCTGAGCCCCGTGCACACCGCTTTGATAGCCTCACACATAGTCCAGTTCATAAAAGCTCCAAATAGTTTTTTCCCCCGCAGTTTTTCACTTCAAAGGGTTTAACAGACAACATTTGACATGTCATCCTCTTTTAGGTAAAATACACATAAAATGCACATTTTCATCATTTTTAAGTGTCTAGTGCAGTGGCATTAACCGCGCATGCTGCGCAACCATCACCACCGTCCGTCCCTAGAGCTTTCTCCTGTCCGCATGAAACACAGCCTCCCCAGCGCGCCCACAGCACCTGGCGCCCGCCCTTCTGCTCTCCGTCTCCGGGAGGGTGGCTGCGCTAGGGCCCACGTGTGAGTGCAGAGACCTACGGTCCTCGTCCTTCTGTGGCTGGCTTGTTCCGGGGGGCAGTGTCTTCCAGCTTCCTCCGTGTCGCCCCGTGGGTCAGGATCTCACTTCTTTTCAAGGCTGACAAATATTTCTTTGTGCGGACGGACCACATTTTGTTTCACTCTTCACACCTAGGCTGCTCTCGCCTTTTTGCTACGGTAAATAACGCTGCTGTGAACACGGGTGTGCAGAGATCTGCTTGTGTCCTTGCTTTTCCGTTCTTCTGGAGACGCACGCGGATTTGGAGTTGCCGCATCGTACGGTGACTCTGTTTTCCGTAGTGGCCGCACCACTTTGTGGTCTCACCAGCAGTGCACGGGGGTCCCCACGTCCTCGCCCACACTGCTTAGTGTTGTGTTCTGCACACCTCTGAAAGCCGTCTTGGGCACGGTGTCGGATGTAATATGCCCGTTCCGTCAAGCCTGTCGGTTGCCTTATCCAAAGTCATCCTGTTGTAGATGCTTTTCCTACTTGATTCTTCACTTCCTCAGAGAGGTATTTTAAAGTCTCCCACCCACTGTGATAATTAATTGATTTCTCCTTGATATATGCTTTCATCCTTTGCCTTTAAATCTCTCTGAATTTTCATGTTTTAATTGTGTCTCTCGTAAACATTCCGTCGGGCAGTCTGTTTTCACCTGGAGAATTGATTCCATTTGGACGTACTATACCATCTTATAATGTGGGCTCTATTTTTCCCACTTTTTGTTTTTTCTCAGCTTCACTGTTTTTTTTTTTTTTGCCTTGTTTCAAAAAAAGGAAAGTTTTTATCCTATTTTTCTTACCCCATTTTCCTAGGTTTGTCTAGTCTGAAAGCATAACTTTCAAGCTATGGTTGTTTTTTTTTTTTTTAAAGATTTTATTTGAGAGAGAGAGAGAGAGAGAGAGAGAGAGCACAAGCGGGAGCAGGGGCAGAGGGAGAGGGAGAAGCAGACTCACCGCGGAGCAGGGAGCCCGATGTGGGGCTCGATCCCAGGACCCTGGGACCATGACCTGAGCCGAAGGCAGACGCTTAACCAGTTGAGCCACCCAGGCGCCCAAACTATGGTTGTTATTTCAATGGTTACTTAGCTACTTTGAACTCCTTACAGTTCACGAAGTCTATGATTAATCCATATCTGTAGCTTTCTTCCGACAATACAAGCATAACCCCGATATGCTGTGGTGTCTGGTCTTTCAATTTTACCTTTTTTTTTTTTAGCTCACGATTTTACTGTTGCTTAGGCAGCCACGTTTTGTCCAAATTAATTCACATATTTACCGATATCTGCTCGTCATTCTGTCATGCATTTCAGACCTTCCATCTGGGGTCCTAAAATCGATCCCTTAGAATTGTTTCTAAGGAATGCATGCAGCAGCCGGCAGAGTTGGGCGAACACAACCGCGCAGGCTCCCGAGGGTTGCTGGAGTCCGTGGAAGCCATCCTGCCCTCGGCCAGCCTGCCTGCCTTCAGTGGCAGGGGCCATGTGCCCAGCTCACCCCGGGGCCCCAAGCCATGACATTCCCATCCCTGGGGCTGTGGGCAGCCTTCACCATCCCCCTGCCTCTGTAAAACATGGTGCTAAAGCTGGGCCTTAAACTCAACAGACTTCCTACAGGAAACACACACACAAGATCACACGGCTGCTAACGTTGCTTTTATGGACATTTCCCCGAGAACTAGTTCTCTCTGGAAAAATAAATTCACAGGATGTAATTAAAACCACTGTATGTGTATGTTGGCTTAGGCACTTCTTAAGTGCTTCACCAAATGGGCTACCAAATAAAGAAATGAAGGCCGGCTTTGTTCACGTCCGGGAACAGTGATCTTTATTAATTGTAACCCAGGGCATTCGTCTGTTGCTTTATGGATTCAGAAGCAGCCAGCACGCGCCCTTGGTCACGACCCCAGGGTGGCCACTGCTGTGGAGAAAGGTCCGCGGGTGGCACTAGGCCACCTGGATCAGGACAACTGAAGGTTGAGGGGCTTGTGCTTTCTGGCTGTGACCTTTGAGAAAATACAACAAATTTATCTTGTCTTCAAGCAGCGGAAAAATTAATTTCTGAGAAAAAGTTACCAAAGCAATGTGCTTGTGAGCAACATGGCAGAGAGGAGCTGTGTTGGCTTCTCTTGCCCTCTTCCTGTTCCCCTTTGTCCAGTTCTTTCGGGGGGAACTGGCAGGCTCTGGGGGGGGCCCTGTGCTGGGTACAGGGCCACAGCAGGGCACTCACAGCTCTCCCTGGCGTGGATATGGTGTGCGGGCCGAGAGGTGGTTCCTCCCGCAGCTGTTGAGCTGGGCCCTCGAAGGTCTGTGATGATGCCACACAGAGCAAAGTGTCCCAGTGGAGGCCGCATACAGAGGAAAGCAAATCTAAAGATGGATGAGACCGAGGGACAGATTTGGAAGTCCAGGATCCAGCTGTGCCTGAACACCATCCCGTTCTGGACATCTCCATTCTGCAGATGTCTTAGCGGGTGTGATGGTTCAATTTTATGTCAGCCTGGCCAGGTCATGGTGCCCAGTTATTTGGTCAAACACCAGTCTAGATGTTGCAGGGAACGTATTTCGCACATGCGATTAGCATCGACAATCAGTTGACTTTAAATTAAGATTACCCTTAACAATATGGGTGGGCCTCATCTAATCAGTTGAAGGCCTCAACGGCAAAGAGCGCTTTCTCGGAGAAAAAGCAGTTCTGCCTCAAGAACGGCAGCATCCAAACTCGCCTGCCAGCCTGGAAAGAGATTAAGCAAGTGCTCCCGGGGGAGAGGAGAGGGCAGTGGCAGGGGACAGGGAAGGGTAGAGACACGTGGAATGTGGTTTCAGGCATGAGCCTGAACCAAACCTTGGGGGGCCCTGAGTGTGAATCCTGCCTGAAGCGAGGGATGTAACTTCCAGGTACTTCTTTCTCTCTTGCCTCCTTGCGTGGTGGTTCGAGAGCCTGCGGGCACCAGCAGCGCCTGCTACCGCAGGCTGATAGATGCTTTTTGTCTCTACTGGTTTGAGTTGAGACTCTCCTTAGCAATGGCGAGTCCTGACCAATCACCCACCTACTGGGTGAGTGACGGAAACCTCCTTCTCCAGACCATGGCAGAGGCTCTTAATTATCCAAGTGGCCAGTCTCTGCCGGTTGATACAGGCTTGGACCCGGCGGCGGCGGAGGGCAGGGGGGAGCCCTGGGCCAGAGGAGCCTGATGCTGGACGACTGGCTGGCCGGGGCTCTGTCTCCAGAATGTGAACTGAAAGCCCCGTGGTGGAGGTGGATGCCTGAGCTCATGGTCCCGCGGGGTCAGGCTGCAGTTTCTGACTCCATGGGACCAATGGCCGGTCACAGAGACAGGGGCTGATGCTCAGAGAGGGCCAAGGAAGTCCATCTGCCAGATGAGGGAGACTGGTGAGCTGCGAGAGGGAGAGCAGGACGGACAGGGTGCCAAAGAGGGAGTGAGACATCGGGACAGAGCCAGACCAAGGTTCAGGGAAACAGTGAGAAGCAGAGATGACAGGGAGGGGTCAGCAGAAAGGCAGAGAGAGACTGAATTATCCAAAGTAGCCGCAGCAACGTATGTCCTTCGCCCACTGAGATCCTGGGAATGACATCGACGGTCCTGACGGAGAGGTGGGCAAGCTACGTGTGCCCCTTGAGCCCACGGAACCGGGTGACTTCTCTGACCACCAGAACGCAGTGGCTCCCACCTGGCTCTCTCCCTCTCTCGGATACTCCCCTGGGAAGCCAGCCCCCACGTTGGGAGGAACCCGAGCCCACAGGGAGCCACGCATGGAGTCCTGACTGACAGCACCAGCCTGTGGGCCAGCCTTTTGAACTCAGATGTCCTGAGGCACAGACAAGCCGTTCCTGCTGGGCCCATCCTAATTCCCTGGGAGAGGCCATGTGATCACAGTCCTTGGAAGCCACTAAGTTCTTGATCACCTGGTAATTGATGAGGAGAAAGAGGGAGAGAGGGAGACACAAAGAGAAAGAGACAGTGCCTCAGAGGTAGGCAGAAGTAGAGACAGAGACACGCACAGAGCTGAGCAGCGTCAGAGACGTCGCGAGAGCCAGAGAAGCTTCCGGGTCCAGGGCGGCCCGTTTTTCTAGGCCACCTGCTGTCCCCGAACCAAACTGAAGGCTACTTTTTTTTTTTTAATTTTTAAAAAAATTAATTTTTAAGAGAGAGAGTGAGAGAGCACACGAGCAGGAGGCAGAGGGAGAAGCAGACTCCCCGCTGAGCAGGGAGCCTGATGCAGGACTTGATCCCAGGACCCTGGGACCATGACCTGAGCCGAAGGCAGACAGATGTTTCATCGACTGAGCCACCCAGGCGCCCCTGAAGACTCCTTTTGACTGAGACCAGCTTCCGCGGGTCTGGCCCCCTCACAGGAACGAATACAACCTTCACGTGCCCAGCGCTGCTGGGAGGAGGGTGTCTCCCGTCCTCTGGGCCCCAGCTGGGCTCGTGGGGGTGGCAGGGGGCTCACCCTGGGTCTCCTTGGAGTCCTGCATCTTTTTCCTCCTTCCTGCACACAGCAGACAGCGTGCCCCCTCCCAAACCTGATCCCATCGCTGCCCCCCGACGACGTCCCCGTGACACGGGGACAGGCTCCGTCAGTAAGCTGGCCCACAGGGCCTCCCCTCCGTGGCCTGGGGAGTGGCCTTTGCGTGACCGTCCAACTATCTGTCCCCTGGGCCCCGATGCTTCCTGTCTCTTTGTGGTGAACTTCACACCCTTCTCTGACTCCTGCTGAAACCCCCCATCCCCCAGCCCTGCTCTGTCCCTCACAGCCCTGGCGCAGCTGGTGGTCTGTGATTCTGGCTCCATGACCGGGTGTATGTGTTTCCTGCGGCTGCCCCCATAAGTTACCATGCTCTTGGTGGCTTAAACACAGAAATGTATTCTCGCACAGTTTAGAGGGCAGAGGTCTAAAATCAGTTGAGGTGTCTGCCCAACCGTGCTCCCCCTGGAGGTTGTAGGGGCACGTCCTTCCGGTCTCTTCCTGCTCCCGATGGCCCCTGACTTCCTTAGCTGGGGCCACATCCTCCAGTCTCTGCCTCGTTCACATGTGGCTTCTCCCTGTGTGTCTCAGTTTCCAATCATCCTCTGCCTTTCTCTTATCAACACACCCGTCATTGGATTTAGGGCCTCGCCTGAGTCCAGGGTGCCTGAGACCATTACCCTAATTACATCTGCAAACCCCCTGTTCCCAACAAGATCACACTCACAGGTTTCAGGGGTTAGGAGGTGGACTTACCCTCCTGGGGAGCCACCGTGCACCTGGCTGCCTTGGACCATGGGTTCCGTGGACAGGGTCCAAGTTGGCTCACGCCTGCACTCGGAACCAGGCACAGTGCCTGGACGAGGAACCTTGTCAGTTCTGGTCGATGAATGGCTTTATCCATTTGTTCAATAACAAGTCCTGTGAGAGAATAAAAATATCCATTGGACCAGAGGCAGCTTTCGAGGAACGCACGCGTCTGCAAGCAGAGAGAGAGCAGCTTGGCGCAGGGCTCTAAGTCCAGGTGGGAAGAGAGAAACGTGGCGGGTGTGAGGGCGGAGGCAGGCAGAGAGCCCAGGTGCCCACTGCTTGGGTGGGGGCCGGGACGCATCTGGGGAGCCAAGGCACATGTCCCCCTGGGCGGCTGACGTGGGGATGGGAGGGCCTGAAATGTGCAGACACCCAGTTCTGGTTGTGTCTTGGGAGCTGCAGGAGGGAGGACTTTGGAGCGTGTGTACGAAGGGCCCCACGTGTCCAGCTAAGGAACACGTGGGATTTCCGAGGATCACTTAGGAATCGTCAGCCCGGGTGACAGAGGCTGAATCTCAGGGAGTGGCTCAGCAGGAGAAATTAACCTGGTGGGGAGGGAGGGAGGGGGGTAGTGGGAGGCAGGCTGGTGGGGGAGCAACCTGAGGGCTGGGGTAGGGTCCCAACTCACTCTGGTTTTAAAACTGGGAGTCCTGTGTTAGGGAACCCGCTCGGTCTGGGGCAAAGCGGGAAGGTTGGTCTCCTAGGAGGGGGCTGAGTCATGAGGCCCAGGCCTCGCCCGGGACCAGCTGTATCAGGACCTCTGATGGGGGGGTGGGGCCAGGCTTCCTTTTTTTTTTTTTTTCCCCAATTGTGGTATGATATACATAATAAACTTACTAGTTTATTACTATTTTTAATTTTAACCTTTTAAAAGTGTACAATTCAGTAGTGTTAAGTACATTCACACCATTGTACGTTGGTCAATCTCCAGAACTTTATCAACTTCCCAGACTGAAACCTGTGCCCTTTAAACAAGTCCCCATTCTCCCCTTCCCCAGCCCGGGGCATCCATGCTATTTTCTGTCTCTATGAATTTGACTCCTTCAGGTGCCTCATATAAGTTGGATCATATAGTACTTGTCCTTTTGTGACTGGCTTATTTCACTTAGCATGATGTCCTCAAGGTTATCCATGTTGTAGCAGGTGTCAGAATAGCCTTCCTTTTTTTTTTTTTTAAGATTTTATTTATTTGAGAGAGAGTGAGAGCATGAGCGCACAAGCAGGCAGAGGGGCAGAGGGAGAGGGACAAGCAGACTCCCCACTGAGCAGGGACCCCCATCTAGGGGCTCCATCCCAGGACCCTGAGATCACAACCCCAGTTGAAGTCAGACGCTTAAGGGACTGGGCCACCCAGATGCCCCTTCCTTTTTAAGGCTGGGTACCATTCCCCTGGATGACCAGACCACACTCTGTTTATCTGTTGCACCGCTGAGGGGCACTTTGGTTGTTTCCGTGCTTGGGTGTTTTGGAAGCTCCCAGAGGTTCCCCGCTTGCAGCTGTGATGGAGGACCTGCGAGCTGGGCACGCCCCTGGCTCCCTGCCCTGTGGCACCAAGGGCGTCACCCCCAAGCCTCTGGCAGGGGTGCTCTCTGCTGTTATCAAGTCCAAACAGCATTGCAGGAAGCCCTCTTCCCCCCACCAAACACCCTCGCAGGGCCGGCCAGGTCCGTAGCCAAGGGAAACCGAGCTCAAGAATGCAAACTCAATACACACACAGTTTGGACAACATTTAAAGAAGCCAAAGTGCAGGAAAATGTATGCCTTTGTTCCCTAATTTATTCAATAAATGCTTTGTGCGAGGCAGTGCGCTATAATTTAATAGACGAGATCCCCGCCCTCATGGAAGGAGCTCCGGGGGCGCACTCATCTCTTAGCACGGAGACACCTGCCCACGGCAGCGGTGCCCAGCTCGCCGAACCTGCTGCGGGGACCAGGGCTGGACGTCCGGCACCTTCGCATCCACGCTCTCCCGGGGCTGCTCCAGGATGAGCGTGGGGACCACCAGAGCTGCTCACTGTGCCCGGCGCAGTCCTCCTTCACCCGGGACTCCCCGGACGCGCCGCCGGCCGGGCTGGAGTCCGGTTCCGATCGGCCTCCCGAGCTTCCCGCGGCCCCGCCCATACCCGCGAGGCACAATGCCACGCCTCCTTTGTGGGGGCGGGCCCGGGCCCGGCCAACCAGAGCTCCCGGCTAAGAGTTAGGCTCCGCCCCCCCGTGAGCTTGTTTTCCCAGACTCCTCCACTCCGGTGGAGAAACGCTCGCACTGCCGGCGCGCGCCTCCGATACGGCGCGCCTCCGGACAGCTCGCGCCCCGCCTCGTTGGGCCTCACGTCCGGACCGGAGGCCGGAGGTGGACGCGCTGGCACCCCGCGCGGGGCCCCGTGAGCCCTTGAGGGAGGTGCAAGCCCGCCGGAAGTCGCGCCCCCGACGCGGCCCAGCTGCCCGCGGCGCCGGAAGTGGACGCTGCTGCCCTGCTTCCGGTCGGCGGGGCGCGCTGGGGCCGGGGCTGCGGACCGGGGCGAGTCCGGAGCGCCCATGGCGGAGGGCGGCGGTCCGCACGGGCGGGCCGGGCCGGGGCCCGCAGGTAACGTGCGCGCAGCCGTCGGGCCGCGGGGCGGCGGGGCAGCGGAGGGCATGGTCCAGCGCCCTGGCCGAGGGACTCCGGCGGCTGCTCCCGGGCCGGGGCCGTGCCTCCTCGTCCCCGGCGGGCCAGGCCCGTGGAGCCGCGCCCTGCCGCCAGGGTCGGGTCCGCGCGGCGCGCCGTACGGGGCGGCCCCCGGCTGCTGCGTGTGCCTGCTCCTCGGCTTCGCGTGGACATCCTCGCGCTGGGGTTCCTCTCCTGTGGAACTTGCTTTCTAACTGCCGGTCCATGAGCCGGTGGGGATTTGCTAGGACCCTTCCTGTAAGAACAGGACATGGATCATCTTCCAGCTCTGAGGCGCACGGGTCAGGAAAGCCCCCAGAGGTCAGTCCCTCGGGACGGCAGGTGTCTTTTCTCCGCCCTGTCACCTACGGCTTGCCTGGGGTGCTACCGCCCATGCACAGGCAAGGGACAGCGATAACGGCATCCCCAGCGAGCTGTCCGTGACACAGCATGTCCAGGGGCCTGTGGCCCACCCGCAGAAGAGGCGGCTAGAGAGCCTCACGCTCACCACCCAGAATAGCCATCAGATGCAGGGTTTGCACCCGGGACCTTCCTACTAAGCGGCTGTGAAGTTGCTGTGTTCAGAAGAGGTTCCCTCTTACCTTGTGGTGGGATTTCCCCTGTGTTAGTTGCTCAATTTGCCCTGTGTACCTAATGTGGAGACTGATCAGAGAAACGCAAGCATTAGGTTGTGTTTGGATCTGGAGCTGGGTGTAGAGGAGGCTGCGTTGAGCTGGGCCAGGGAGTGGGTTGAAAAGAGGCCGGCAGAGGGAGGCCCAGAGAAGAACTTAGCAAAAATCTGTGGCTCCCACTTACCCGTCGGCCTTTGCTCTACACTTTCTGAATCTTGCTGGCTCCTGCTTTGGGAGCTTTTTCACTGTGTGGGGTGAAACTGCAGGGTTGCGGCTGTGGAGGAGAACAGCTGAAGGAAGATCGGGCAGCGGCCCTAAGGGTTCCTTGAGGCCTGCCTGCTGATGGGCTGCAGGTGTGGTTGTGGGATCCGCTTGAGTGACCGCTGTGCGTGTGAACGCGGGCTGCCCTGCCCACCTGCCAGTGAAGTGAGGAAGCCTACTCATCACCCCCCTTGTACTTTGGTCTTGTCTGCAGTAGGTAGTCAAGAGATTTGATTTGAATGTAAAAGCAACTTTATCATTGGAAAGAGTCCACCTGTGGAGGGGCGTGCTTTCCATCTGTGCCTGTTCACATGCTGGAGTCCGCATTCATGCTCTTTCCTTATGCCCCTGTCTGTAAGGATGTCTGCAGAACTCTTGATTATCTGGAGATTATTTCTGGGCTCCAATGTGAGGGGAAAAACTCGATAATTTGCAAACAGGTATCTGATTTTACAAATGTGTTGACTACTTATTTTTCATAACTCTGAAGGCTGGGAAGTCCAAGACCAAGGCCCAGCACATTCTTTGTCTGACAGGGCCCTGCTTCCTGGTTCCTAGGTGGCAGTATTCTTGCTTTGTCCTCACGTGTGGAGGGTGTGTGGGAGCTCTCTGGGGTCTCTTTTATAAGGACATAATCCCATTCGTGAAGGCTCTTCTCTCATGATCTGTGCATTCACCTACCAAAGTCACTACCTCTTAATACCATCACCTTGGAGGGTTAAGGTTCCACCATATTTTGTGGGGGAGACACTAGTCTGTAGCAGCTGCTCTTTCTATTCCTCACTGATTTCGATACTCATTTATACTAAGGTCTTTTCTGGGCAATTGATTCTGTTTGATTTATTTTTTATTCTGATAAGAGATAATAAGTTCTGGGGCGCCTGGTGGCTCAGTTGGTTAAGTGACTGCCTTTGGCTCAGGTCATGATCCTGGGGTCCTGGGATCGAGCCCCACAGCTGGCTTCTTGCTCAGTGGGGAGCCTGCTTCTCCCTCTCCCTCTGCCTGCTATTCCCCCTGCTTGTGCGCTCTCTCTGTCAAATAAATAAATACAATCTTTAAAAAAAAAAAAAAGATAAGCTTTCTTAACTGGTAGGGTCGTTTTTTTCTCATACGTACTAAACAGGTGATTTTTTTTTTTAAAGATTTTATTTATTTATTTGACAGAGACACAGCAGGAGAGGGAACACAAGCAGGGGGAGTGGGAGAGGGAGAAGCAGGCTTCGCGCGGAGCAGGGACCCCGATGCAGGGCTCAGTCCCAGGATCATGACCTGAGCCGAAGGCAGATGCTTAACGACTGAGCCACCCAGGTGCCCCAAAACAGGTGATTTTTCATTTATATTTCCAGATAAACTTTTTTTTCAAGTAAGTTCCACGCCCAGCGTGGAGCCCAGTGGGGGGCTTGAGTTCAGGACCCTGACATCAAGACCTGAGCTGGGAGATCAAGAGTCAGACGCTTAACTGAGCCACCCAGGTGCCCTGCCAGATAGACTTTTATAATATTTTTGTCACATCTCATATAAAAACTCCGAAGAGATTTATTAAACCACTTAATTTGTTATCCCTTAAAACTTTTTTAGCATTGACTCATCCTGTCCAAGCACGGGGTATGGTTTACTCTAGTCATCTTGATTGTTTTCCGGTTTTATAGTCTTCATTATGTGAAGCTGGCTTTCTATTTATATGCATGTATTTTAACATTTTCCTTTTTACTGAGGTGTAACTTACATTCAGTAAAGTGCACCCATCTTAGGTTGCCGTCTTATGAGTTAAGCATGGCGACTCCTGTGAGGTCATGGCCCAGGTTGGCTTGCTACAGTCATCGGTTGCAAATAGCATTTGTTTGGCTGTTGAATTTTGCCAAATCCAAGTGTCGTTTTGTAATATGGGAGATGATCATATGGTTTTCCCCAATATTAAGACACTGCTACATTCTTGGGATAAATAGAGTAATATGGTGGATTTTTGATACGTATTTTAAGTTGCACCTTGCTAATAATTTTATTTAGGATCTTCCGTATTCTTCAGTAAGGTTGACGCATCGCCTCCTGTCCCACCAATGTTTTAAAAATTATTATCCTTGTCAGATTTTGTGTCAGGCTTCTGCTTGTTTCACTAAGGAAAACTTTGTTCTTTTCTTTTTTTTTTAAAGATTTATTTATTTATTTTGAGAGAGTGAGAAAGAGAGAGAGAGAGAGAGCACATGAGAGGAAGGAGGGTCAGAGGGAGAAGCAGACTCCCCGCTGAGCAGGGAGCCCGATGCAGGACTCGATCCCGGGACTCCAGGATCATGACCTGAGCCGAAGGCAGTCGCCCAACCAACTGAGCCACCCAGGTGCCCAGGGAAACTTTCTGTATTTTTCTAAGCCCTGGGCGTTTCTGGAGCGTGGGAATGATTTATTCTTGCGAGTTTGAGGTACCCAGGTAGACTGAAGACAAAGGGATTGTTGCAGACGGCGCCCCCTATTGGTTGGTGTTGGCAAGGTTTTCCCTAGCTGACAGGAGCCCCTCTCTTCAGTGCAGGTCCTAATCTGAAGGAGTGGCTGAGGGAGCAGTTTTGTGACCATCCGCTGGAGCACTGTGAGGACACGAGGCTCCATGATGCAGCCTACGTGGGGGATCTCCAGACCCTCAGGAGCCTGCTGCAAGAGGAGAGCTACCGGAGGTGAGCATCACTGTCCTGGGGCTGGCCCAGTGCAGTCCGAAGCTGAGGTGCGTGATCTGTGAGGGCACTATGTCTCCCTGGTGAGCAGGTGAAGACCCTGACGCTTTCCAGTGTTAGAGGACAGAGGAGGAAAGGAGACCGAGGGAGCATGGCCAGACTTGCAGGAGATAGCCAGGTAGTGAGGGTAGGAGACCTGAATTCAAGTCCAGACAGGTCATTGACCTTTATGTTTTCTGGAAACTTCTGGCCCTCTCTGGTGTCAGCTTTCTTGATGTTAGTCCTGGTGGCAGCACTGTTACTGTCTTCAAGAGTGGTCCTGCCCCCTTCCAAGTCTCTTGTGGCTCTTTACCCTAAGCTGTATAGGTGAGTTCACCTAACTTTGTTATTTTCATGTGGTTACACCCCTGTGGGTGCAGATTTCCTGATGTACCCTCCTCTGGCATCTCTGATCCCCAGCTGTCTGCCTCCCGGGCCTGGGGCTCAGCCTCAGACCAGCCGTCTCATCACCCGGGGATGTGCTGTGTGTTCACCTTCTTATTCCCTTTGTTTGTAGTGCCCAGCCTGCTGCCCGCCAGATCCTGCCCATTCCTGCCCATTCCTCCACACCGGCTCAGGCTCTTCGAAGCAGCAGGTGTTGATACTACTCTTTTCCCACCAGGAACCCCTGGGAGAGCACGGAGTCTTCCTTCCCTCTGGGTGTTCTCTGATTGCTTTGTGGGTCGAAGATTGGAGTCCCAGCTAGATTAGCAACTGACCTGCAACCAGAAACTCCTTCCTGCTTTGTGTTTCTTTCCCCTTCAGGGTTAAGATGGCAGTGAATTGATAGAAGAAATGTCTTCGTGTCAATATTGAAATGAATGCCACTTATGAATAGCTCCCAAGAGAAGGATTTCTGACAATTTAAGAATAGGGTTCTTTTTTTTTTTTTAACTTCTGATATCTTAGCATTATTTCATCAGAATAGATACCAGTATTTAAAAAAAAAAAAAAAAAGCTCTAAATAATCCAGAAAGGATTGTCATACAAAGATGTCAAATGGATTCTGCATGAATGTTTAATGCAAATGACTCAGGCCCGAAGGGAACCTTAAATTTGCAGAAGCAACAGTAGAATAAAAACAACAGAATAAAATAGAGTTCAACTAGGTGTTTTCATATTGCTTTTCCAAGTACTTTTTTTTCTTTCTTCTTCTATTTGACTTGAGTAAATCTGTTTCCCAATGATCTGTTTCTGTTGCTCTGTACTTTGACCATGAGTCCTTGGAGTGTTCCTTGGTCTTCTTGGCTAGTGGGAGCCAGTGCTCAGCTGAAGGAGGAAGCCCTGGCCCACTGTGTATCTCTGTGTCACTCTTCAGTGGGCTGAATGGCCCAGCTTTGTTCACAGCTGCACTGGGAGCCTGAAGTGAACTGTGTCTTGGTTGATGACATGGTGGGTCAGTGGGCTGCATGGCCACGGCATTCCTTGACAGGGAGTCACAGTCTGATCGTCACTTTTGATGAGAGCTGAGCGTAGCCCGTTGCCCTCTGCTGGTGCTGGCCGGGAGTGGAGCGCTGCATGGCCTTGGCCATTTCTGCAGGCTGTCATTTGTGCTGTGTCACAGGGAGAAGGATCACAGGGGTCACCTGCTCCCAGTGGGGATGCCAAGGCCCAACCTCAGGCCTCCACAGCGAGTGGCTGGTGAGAAGGGGCCTCAGGACCGTGGCGGGGTGCCAGCGCGTGCGCTGCTATCCATCCTGCGTTGCCTCCCTGGGCACACCCTTCCACCCTGTGGGAGATCGGAGATCTTAGCTCTGTGCCTCAGTGTCTTCCACTGTGGAATGGGCTCGTCAGATCTGCTCTGCCCCACGCCCAGATCCAGCATTTCATAGAACAGAGCACACGCGGAGGCATTCTTGAAGCCCGGGAGTGTCCCCGTTTGAAGAGTTTGCCCTCCTGTTCTCTGTTTCCGGCATGGACCAGTATGGGAGGAAGCAGGGCGGCTTGTGGGTTTCCCAGCTGCCCCTCACAGCCTGGCTCCCCTGTGTTTTTTCTTAGCCGCATCAACGAGAAGTCTGTCTGGTGCTGCGGCTGGCTCCCCTGCACACCGCTGAGAATCGCGGCCACCGCGGGCCACGGGAACTGTGTGGACTTCCTTATCCGGAAAGGGGCCGAGGTGGATCTCGTGGACGTAAAAGGACAGACTGCTCTGTACGTGGCTGTGGTGAACGGACACCTGGAGAGCGCCCAGATCCTCCTGGAAGCCGGCGCCGACCCCAACGGAAGCCGACACCACCGAAGCACCCCCGTCTACCATGCCTCGCGTGTGGGCAGGGCTGACATTCTGAAGGCCCTCATCAGGTCAGTGCTGCGGAGGCCTGGCCGCCCTCGCCCCGTGGCTGCTACTTCCTGTGGCCACGTTCTCTTTCCCTGTTGTCTGTATTTACTTCTCTCTGTGTAAAGTTAGGCGTGTTGGAAGAATTGTCTGTTAGTCTTTTTAAAAAGCTACTTCTTAGCTCTGTCAGTTTTCTTATTTTTCTGCTTACTAATTTCTATTTTTTTTCCCATTTTCCTTAATCTTTCTCTTTTTTCAGTTGAACGACTGATTATTCATTTTTGTTCTCAAAGTGTCGGCTTTCAAGGTTATTATTACCTTTGCCTTTAGCTTTGGTCTTATCTGCTAAGTTTTTACCCCATATTTAAATTAAGTATTGCTAAAGTTGATTTCCTCTTTGTTCTTATGGAGGAGAAAGGTTTAATATACATTTTTCATGAACTAGTTTTATTGTATTGTGCTCAGATAACCTGGAGCGTATAATTTGCATTTTGGGGCTGCTTTTGAGTTTTTAATTTTTTTCTAATATCATACGATGTTGTTGTGGGTTATGCTCATTATTGAACCAAAGGGGAGCTATAGGTCTCATTGAAGGCTCGTTTACACAGCATTCTGTCACATTTAGTTTTTAATCTTCTTGGGCTTAAGTAGTTCTTTGGGTGCTCACCTTTCTTACTTGACTGTATAGGATTCTTTGTTTTTTAAACACAGTTAACATTGTTGCCAGAGCTGATGTTAGGTCTATGTCTCTCTTTTGGTTTCTTAGCTGTTCCTTATTGTGTATGTTTGTTCCATGATCTAGGTTTGCTTTGCTTTCCCTTTCTATTATGTTAGATGGTTTATGGACTTATTTTAATTGTATGAATGGTTACATTTTTAAAAAATTTGAACCAGATTACATTTTCATTTTCTGTGTCTCCAGTGACTTCTTTCTACCAGAGGGTCTTTTTCCCGTGCCTCGCTCTGGAGGTGTTTCCTGCGGTTGGACAGAGTATACTTCCGGTAGCCAGTTTTCGGTGCGGAAAGGATGGGGGAAGGGTCCTGTTGTTAGAGGCTGCAGTGGGGATGGTTCTCAGGAGCAGGAGACCTGGCGTTCCCTTGCCCAGCGTAAGGTGTAGTTTTTGAATTAGGTACTGAGAATATATTTATTACATTAAAAGTTTTTTTTTTTAATTTTTTATTTTTTTATGACTATGGAATTGGCTTTTGGAAAGACAGACGAGGGTATTATGGTATTTCCCTTCTCTTTAAAAATCTTTAGCCTGACCATCTAAGTCACCTCAGTCTTATATCTTTGCATCTTAGAGAATGTACGGCATTAATTAGGAAATACTTTTGAATAGGATCAGTCAATGAAATTTCATCTTGGTTCCAGAAATCCCTTTAGGCATTTCAGTCAGTTCATGATGCACAACTGCTTTAAATTAACTCCAGGCTTGGCTTTCTGAAGTACATGTGCAGATGCCCTGTTTGAGGAGGCGCTAGTGTCAGAGATACCTCACTGCCTCATTGGCGTGCGGGGCACGACTATCACAGTGAGGTACCAAGAACACATACTAAAAAGTTTCCCATTTTCTGAATTACCAGGTAACTGACTTACTGACCTTTGGAAAAGGGAGTGATATGGTTGAGTTATTGAACAAATAATACGATCTAAATATAATGTCAGCTCCTGCCTTCCTAGGTCATTGTTCCTTACGCACAGGGCTCTCTGCGGTCATGCTGTAATTTACTGTTTCTCTGCAAGTAAATTCCATTTTGTTACTTGTAAATTCCCTTGATATATGTTGCTGATTTTTTTTTTTTTTAAAGGTAAGGCATGGTGTTTCTGTATGTGCAAAATTTATATTGATTCACTGAGTTGTCCCAGTGGTTCCCTGCCAGAGATATTAAAAGCAGGAGGGGAATTTTGGAAAATAGTCAGGATTAAAATTAACTGGATCCTATCCAGCATATTTTTATGAGTGGATGAAGGGCTGTCTTTCCCATAGCTCAGCTAATACCAGATTGTCATATTGCCCAAAATTACAAACATTTTGTAAGACCTATCCCTAACAAAAGGAGGAAAAAAAAAATCACTGCTTAAAATCTAGTTCTCTTTTTCTTTATTGGTTGAGTGTGTGAAGTGAAATGGCAGTTTCTGCTTGGTTTGGTGTGTGTTGTAGAATGTTTCTCCTGTCACTGCTGGAGTGTCTGGGAGGCCGGGCGATGTTTGCATTTGACGATGCTGTGCGGCTTCAGTGGGGAAAGGACTGTCCTGGGAGCACGTCGGTCGGTGTGCCCCTCCCTTCTCCTCCTTAGGCCTGTCCTGTAAGCAGAAGTGTGGGTTTCAGGGAGAAGTTCCTTCGGACGCTCAGAATGTGCTGAAGAGACAGGCGATGGACTATGACTGCTGGCCAGCCGTTTATGTCATGGCCTGGAAAATGGTGCCGTTTCCTGTGCCCTAGGCCCCCGCCTGTCCGCCCGTCTTCTCTGCATCTACACTCCGTCATTTCCTAATTCCACGAACCCCGTGCCCACAGAACGTGTGTGGCATTGTAGGGCTGTCTGGGGTGATGGAAGCTCGGGGAGGCGGGTGCTGGCAGTCCGGTGTTGACTCCGAGCAGAGTCGGTAACGTGCGCCAGGCAGGGGGTCTCACGGGAGTGAGACTGCGCTCTTTTCCATATCTGTCCGGCTGCACAGGATTGCACTTGGGCCCGCTACTGCTGATGTTCACTTTGATCTTTTGATTAAGGTGGTGTCTGTCAGGTTTCTCCAGGGTAAAGCTATTCTTTTTCCTCTCTCTAATTATTTAATTCGTATTTTGTGGAGAGGTACCGTGCAACACATATATATCATATTTCTCATCAAATTTTTAATTTATTCATTTATTTGTGTTAGACTTATAGTTTCGTGTATTATCCAAGAAGTTATACTCCCTTATTATTATTACTTACTTTGATGCTCAGATTGCCTCAGATTTAGCTGCAGGGAGCCCTGTCATACTGGAGGCCAGCTCTGGCCTTAGGACATGTCCCCCGCATCCTTTGAACAGTTCTGTACTTTCTCTTATAACAATATAGTCTAGGCTCATCTAGCACTGTGTCTGTCTTAGCCCTGGAATTAGTCATTTCTCCAAAGAGTCCTGGTTTCTCTTAGTGGAGAGTGGTGGTTAGAAGCCAAGATCTGGACACTGATAGTGTTTATTGCTTATGGGCTGTTGTTGTTTTGAGGCCCTCTGATGGGACAGAGCTAAGGTTACATATACACATTTCTGTCTATATTTCTATATCTACATACATTGACAGTTGAGTTCACCCTGATACTTTTAATCCAATCTGGTACCACAGGGGTCATCCTATTTTTCTTCCTTTCCGAATTTATTATTTGCTTTTCCAGCAGAGACCTGGTTCCCCTTCTCCTTAACATACTTATTTTGCCAATCCCCCACCTGTAACCAGTCTAGTGTTGCTATGCCCTCTCACACATGACTCCTCAGCTGATGTGGGCTCTGACGCCCCCATGCCAGGCAGCATTTTTAGCAAGTACCCTCTTAACTTTGCCAGCATTCTGATACCCTGAGCCAGGCCGCCCTCCGTGCTTGCGTCCGTGGCCTCTGTGTAGATTAAAGGGACCTAGAATAATAGTTTGCACTTGGGAGAACTCCAAATTCCTAATAGTAAGTCTGGATTTGGACTTCCCTGAGGGCAGGGACAAGGGCACGTCCCTTGTGGGGACCCTGAAGCCTCTGCCTTTTTAGAGTCATTTAGAGGTTGGCTCTGTTGAACAATGTGGCTTCCAGTTCAGGCTGCTCCTGCACGTGAGATGCATTTCCTCACGTCTGGGCTGTCACTGGGCCTCTTGGACAGCCGTAGGGATTGTCTCGGGGACTGCAGTGAGCGTGCCCCTCTGTGTGCAGCTCCCTGCTGGCAAGCTCTGCTTCCTGTCTCAGGTCCTTCTAGGGGAATCTGGTGTTCTGGTGTTTAGTGCACCCAGAAAGAGGAGCCGCCCTGCAGGGAGGGCATCGTGGCACCAATCTGGATACACAGTTGGGCTAAAGTGGGTTTTTTTTGCTTTTAATTTTTGGGGATTGCCTTTAATTTGTTTTATGACATATGTATGTGGTTCCAAAGTCAAATCTATAAAACAAAGTATATTAAAAGAAGTCTAGCTTCTGTGTTGGTCTCCTTCAACTCCCCTATAGATGACCATTTTAGAACTTTTATGTTTTATCCCTCCATTGTTAAAAAATAAGCATAATGTGTACATGTCTAGGTATGTGTCATATACATGTATGTATCGTAACCACTTTCCCTCTGATAAGCAGTAGCATAGTACACGCTTTGACTGTCCTGCCTTTCTCGCTTGTTAAATGTGTTCTGAGGTCATTCCAGAGCAGGATTTAGCGATACTCCTCACGCCTTTCCATAGCGGTTCATTGCTGCTCTATATGGATGGACCAGGGTTTGTTCAACCAGTCTCCTGTTGAGGGGCCTCTGGGTTGTTTCTTGCCTTCAGCTGTTACGGATAATGTTTTAATGAGTTGTCGCGTGCATGCATCTTTTCAGAATTTTGCAAATGTAACTTGGAAAGAGATTCCAAGAGTGTGATTGGTGGGTCAGAGGGTAAATGCGTGCGTTATTTTGCCACTTCTTGACAAATTTCCTGCTAGTGGGATTGGTCCATTTTGCATTGCCCCCAGAACTGAATGAGACTTCTTGTTTCTTTAAAGCTTGGTCAATAAAATTTTGATTTTCTCCAGTGTGATAGGTGAGAAGTAGTATCTCAGGGTAGTTTTTTTTTTTTAAATTAAAAAAATATAATGTTACATTAGTTTCAGTTGTAAAGGTAGTTTTAATTTGCATTTGTGTTATGAGTGAGGCTGAGTATCAGCGTCTCTAGCTCATTTTCCTGTAGAACAGTTGATCTTTTCCTTTTTTAAGAAAAAGGATTTATTTATTTGAGAGAGACAGAGAGCATGAGCGAGCAGAGGGGAGGGGCGGAGGAGAGTCACAAGCAGATCCCGTGCACAACGTGCACAGCATGGACCCCAACATGGGGCTCGATCCCAGGATCATGACCCTGAGATCACCACCTGAGCTGAAACCAAGAATCGGATGCTTAACTGCCTGTGCCACCCAGATGCCCCGATCTTTTCCTTTTATTAGCTGTTTCTGTATTAAGGATATTAATCCTTTGTAATAATATTCCCCCAACTTTTCCACTTACTGTTTTACTTTGCTTATGCTGCTTTTTGCCATGCAAAAGTTTTTCTTTGTTTAATTTTCTTTTTTAGGATTTTTTTTAAAGATTATTTATTTACTCATTTGTCAGAGAGAGAGAGAGAGAGAGCGCGCTTGCACAAGCAGGGGGAGCGGCAGGCAGAGGGAGAAGCAGGCTCCCCCTTGAGCAGGGAGCCCGATGCAGGGCTCGATCCCAGGACTCTGCGATTATGACCTGAGCCGAAGGCAGACGCTAACCGACTGAGCCATCCAGGCATCCCTCTTTGTTTTTAATTTTCATGTTAAAAAGCTTTCCTGTTACATCTTTTCTTGTTTGATATTCCAAATAGACGTTATAATCAACTTCTGTAACTCCAGAGATGTTAGTTTTGTTTATTTGTATTTATAATCAAGTTATTCTTTTTTTTTGAAGATTTTATTTATTTGTTCATAAGAGACAGAGAGAGAGAGAGAGAGAGGCCGAGGCAGAGGCAGAGGAAGAAGCAGGCTCCCCGCTGAGCAGGGAGCCTGATGCAAGACTCGATCCCAGGATCCTGGGATCATGACCTGAGCCGAAAGCAGACGCTTAACCATCTGAGCCACCTAGGCGCCCTATAATCAAGTTATTCTAAGAATGGGATTTTCATTTATATAACACACTTCAGGAAAATGATCTCTTAATAGCGTTGAGCCCTCCTCTCCAAGGTGGGGGTGGGGCTTTCCATTTCCAAAGTCTGCTTGTATGACTTCAGGAGTATTTTGTAAACTTCCCTCAGGCAAATTTTGGACATGTACTATTAAGTTTATGCTGAGATATCTCATTTTAAAATTTTTTTTGCTTTCATAAATGAGGTCTTTTCCATTTTGTTTTTGAACTTATTTTTGTATGTATGAAGGCTGTTGATTTTATAACTTTATTAAAGTAATAAATTCTCTCATTGCTTATTGTATTTTCATTAATTACTCAGGGCTTTCCAGACATAGTCATATTCTCTGAAAATAGGGAAAGTTTTTTCTCTTCCTTTATGATCTTAATTAGCTAATTGCTTTCTCTTGTCTGATTGCACTAAAATACCCTTATAAATGCCTGAATCAGGGGCACCTGGGTGGCTCAGTTGTTTGCTCGTCCGACTCTTGATTTCGGCTCAGGTCATGATCTTAGGGTGTTGAGATCAAGTCGTGCACCCTCTCTCTCTCAAATAAATAAATACATCTTTAAAATGTCTGAGTAATAGTGGGCTGGAGAATGGATGTAGGCAGCTTGCCCCGGCTTCCATAGGAGAGCCGCCCCTCTCCCTCATTAGGTGAGGCGCCAACATCTGGGTTTTATCTTGTGAAGGAAATGTCCATCGCTTCTTATTTTACTGAGTATTTATAAACCTGCATTAGTGTTGAGTTTTGTCCCATGCCTTCTTTTTTTCATCTAGAGAGGTAATCGTGATTTTCCCCTTAGTTCTGTGAATATATGGCCTGTGTTCTTAGGATTTCTAATATTGGAACCAGCCTTGCATTCTTGGAATAACCTGCATGAGGTCATGGTGTATTGCTTTCTTAATATACTTTGGATTTGCTTTGCTAACATTAAAATATTGAAGGTGGTTAAGTTGATATTCATAAGTGAAATTAGTTGGTAGTTTTTTTTTTTTTTAATGGTGTGGCTTTTGTCAGGTTTGGGGATTGTTTTGCTAATTTCATAAGATGAATTTGGAATCCCCCCCCCCTTTTTGAAGTAGTTTGACTAGCCATAAGATTGTTGGCTCTTCAAAGGCTTTGAAGGATTCCCCGATGAATTTGTTGTGTGAGTGGGTTCCAAGTTCTTAAGGACTGTCTTGCCTTCCTGGAAGTCATGAGACCGCTGTGATCTGTGGCACCTCCTCAGCGGCTCCCCAGTGCTCATGGAGGTCAGGCCTGACTCCGGTGCTGTGGGGATCTGTTGACTTCAGTCAGTCTCCTGCAAGGTCTCACTGTCCCGGTGTCTCCCTGTAGGTACGGGGCTGACGTCGACGTCAACCACCACCTGACTCCTGACATCCGGCCCCCTTTCTCCCGGCGCCTCACGTCTTTGGTGGTCTGCCCCTTGTATATCAGCGCAGCCTACCACAACCTCCAGTGCTTCAAGCTGCTTCTCCAGGCGGGGGCGAACCCCGACTTCAACTGCAATGGTCCTGTCAACACGCAGGGCTTCTACAGGGGCTCCCCCGGCTGTGTCATGGATGCCGTCCTGCGTCACGGCTGTGAGGCGGCCTTCGTCAGCCTGCTCGTAGAGTTTGGAGCCAACTTGAACCTGGTGAAGTGGGAATCCTTGGGCCCAGAGTCAAGAGGCAGAAGGAAGGTGGACCCTGAGGCGTTGCAGGTCTTTAAAGAGGCCAGAAGTAAGTGGCCTGAGTTCCCTTCTAACTTGCAGTCTGTGTGGGTCAGTTGAATGAATTGAGCTGTAGTGATGAAAACAAACTCGTCCAACAAAGCACTCAGTCAGAATCTGCAGTTAGGGCTAGGCAGTCTCTAGAATACTCCCAGATTGGTCTTTTCAAATTCCTCGACACCAAGAGTTGATACAAAGAAATATATAAAAGTACATGTTCAAAGTTCCTGGAATTGTAGTCGACTGCTTTACCTCTTTGCTCTGCTTTGTGACCCCAAAGTCCTTCACGTACGCATGGTTTTTTAAATGTTTGACAATAAATTGCAAGCCCTTCCTCCTCTAGGGGTCCTCAGTCCCTTTCTTCAGTTCCACTCAAATACCGTTACTTTTATTGTGTGAAACGTCTGGTTTTTGTTAGAATCGACTCCATAGCTTGCTTATTTGTGAAGGAAGATTTTGCTAACGAATCAATAAATCGATAGCCAGATTGTTTGCTGTTGATCTGGAGCTTGGTCTTCGTGTCTGAGGCTCACTCTGGGCCTCAGAAGTGGACCTTGTGCGCCTCCTGCCGGCTGCTGTGGGCCCTCTATGACCTGCCCATGCCCGGCCTCCTCCTTGCCTGGGTGTCAAGGACATCTGAGTTGAAAACCTTTTCCCTAACCCCTTGCCTCTCACAGAACTTGAGTTCATTGTGTTTTTGTTGTTGGAGTTTCCTAAGCCGGTCATTAAAACGTGCTCCCGGTGAGCCTTCCCCCAAAGAGCTGGTTAATGGTCAGCTGAAGTCGTTCTGAGAGAGGCTGCCTGCGGTGTGCCTGCTTCACAAGGCAGAGACGTGGTTAGGCTTTTGACCCACAACAAAACTGTGAGCCTGCACTCCTCACAGACTGCTCGGCCTGTCTGTCCTGGGTCCCCCGGGAGCTCCTGGGATTGGCCAAGAGCAGAGGCTGACGGAGGGTTAGGGTCCATCGTTCACACCTGTCCGGGCCTTCAGTGGTCAGCTCTTGTTTCTGTCTAGGAAATGAAACCCGGTCAAGGAGGTGCCGTCCCGGTGAGCAGGTGCCCCAGGTGAAGATTGCAGTCCTTGCGCAGGCGGGAGGAGTGGATGACAGACCTTCCTCCCCGGGGGCCACTCTCTCTACTGTAAAATTGGGAGGTTGGCAGTGAGCACTTAGGGCAGTTCTGTCAGTCTCAGCCAGCCTCTGGCTAACCTCCCTCCCTCTGTCTCCCTTTCTTCCCTCGGTGTTCCAGGTGTCCCCAGGACCTTGCTGAGTCTGTGCCGTGTGGCCGTGAGAAGAGCTCTTGGCAAATACCGACTCCATCTGATTCCCTCGCTGCCTCTGCCAGACCCCATAAAAAAGTTTCTGATTTATGAGTAGAATGCAAGTGCAGCAGTTGATTGCAGTGAGGAGGAAGGTGATCTGCAGTGAAAGTCGACACCGATTCTTGCTCCCATGAACCACATCCTGTCTGTGCTGCTGACGGAATCCCATTTGGCTGTTGGTAAAGCAGAAACGGCCTTGTTCTCATGGATTGTAATTCCATCTCAGGTGCTCGGGGCATTGGACAGTCCTGGAGTCATTGTCTGCTGAAAAGTTCATACAAAACTTCATTTTGTTCTTCCTCAGTATCTCTGTTTTGGATTTTCATAGTAGCAAATTCACAAAGTGGGCCTTGCGGTGTGTGTAAGTACGGGCTGAGGTTGGAGGTCTGCTAGTAGCTCCAGCGGGGGAGACTCCTAGCACTTTCCAGAACTGTGCTTCTGTTTATATTTTTACTTCTCGATTTCACTGTTTAATTAAAGCCTTCTAATACCTAAATGAAAAGAGAGTTTTGGTAAAAAAAGAAAAAAAAAAAAAAGTACAGAAATGCAGTTCACGAATTTGCTGGTTTGTTTTCCCTGCTCCCGGGGGTGACATGTGGCATCTGTCTGCACTCACCCCTTCCTTGCCGCTTCCGTGTACTCTTCTTGTGGTAATGTCCTCTGTTAATTGTCTTCTTTCCAGGATGGTTTTTTGGCTGGGTGGATCGGCTGTGTTAGCTCAGTCAGTAGCTGCGTTTGTTCACGGTCTAAAGGGAGGACCTTCTGCAGTGCTGCACCTGTTCTCATACCTAACTGTGCCTCGCGTCACGCCAGCAGGTCCCACGAACTCTCTGCCCTTTCTCTTTGAGGAGCTTCCAGACACGGATTGATTTTAGGAGGGCCGCACTGAAGAACTAGCCAGTAAAATGACTGCCTGCATTTGCACCAAGGACCGCTCCAACAGCATTCACTGCCAGTTCTAACCGAAGGGGACACCTGTGGCGCTGCTTTCTAGTCCTTGCACACTCCAGGGCGGGGGGATTCACTTGTCCTCTGGATGGTTCCAGGCTTTCTGTTGCTTGGGTCCAGTGGACAAAACATTTGGCATTTGGTTGATTGCTCTTTGCCTTTTTGGACCTCATGTCTTGGTAGTTGCTCCTAGAAGCTGAGGACGGGGGCGGCAGCGAGGTCAGAAGTCTTCGCCTGGCCCGTGGGGGGTGCTGGTAGGTGAGACGAGCTGAGTTCTCCTCCCCGAGTCTGTGGCCGTGGGCTGGGCTCACTCACACCCGGGCCGTGCAGCTCAGTACTTGGCTGTGTCTGCAGAGGGGGGCCGTTGGCTGCCTCTCCAGAGCCCTCCAGGTGATGCTGTTTCCTAGGAAACCACCTCTGGGAGCTTGAAGCCTCCGATGACCGTTGTGTGGAATCGTGGTGATTCTGACCTTCAGCAGTGTTTAGGAATGGGCAGATTCCAAATCTGCGTTTAGGTTTTCTGTCATAAGAGCTATCTAATTTGTAATAATTGAATTAATGATACAGGTTTACTTATTTACTAACAGCATTGTAGGTTTTAGTCGAGGAGACAGGCAGCATCTGTCATTGTCTTATGCGGCTCGAGGATAGAATTCTCAACCCCACCTCGTGTATCCTGGACGGCTCGGCCGGAATGCCAGGCTGTGACCTGTAGGTGCATGTGTGAGGTCTCAGGGGAGAAGGGGCCTGGATGGTTCAGAGGGAAGACACAATCACGGGAGGCCCCACGTGGCGACAGTGACCCTGTCACAAGCTGTGGCCATAGTATAAGTGTGGGATGGCTGGCGGAGCCTGAAGTTGGGCTTGTGTGCTGCTGCTGAAGGTCTGGGCCCCTGGCCGGCTGGGCTTATGCAGAGCTGGGGGCCGCTCAGAGTGAGGCTGTGAGCTGTGGGGTGTGGGTAGCTGATGAGGGTCCTTAGAGCCTGAGCCAAGTGCCACAAGGGCTTCAGCCGAGAAGGGCTTCGGGGTGTTCTTTGTGGCGTTCAGGGTGGGACCGAGACCACAGTTAGGCGGTGGCAGGAGCTGTGGGGAAGTAGGGCTCCCCGGATATAGGGAAGTTGGACTGGGCCACTGGCAGGGGCGTCATGTCCCTGGAGGTGGGAAAGCAGCGGCTGGTCACCTTCTCGGTAGGGCTGAAAGAGGAGTTCTGGAGTGGGTGGTGGTTCACCTTACTTTTCAGCTCTTCCGACTCTGGGTCCCCCTGCCTCGGCCCTTTTAGTTCAGGGTCTCTCCAGGTGGGCCCTGTTACAGACACGTGGCACGCTCTGAGTCTGCCCCACTGGGTGCTTTCTGCAGAGGTGTGTTAGGACAGGGCCTCCCCAGCCCTGCCCAGCGTAGGAGGGTAGCTCTGTTCCTGGACCTTCTGGAAAGCCGCGCTGGGAATGCTGCCCGTGCAGAAGTCTCGCACATTTGGCACGACCTTCGGGCTGCACGAGCCAAGGCCCCAGTGCAGGGTGGTGTCGGGGTCTGCTGCCCGGCGAGGCCAGTGCCGGGCTTCATTCTGGGGGGTTGAACGGTTTTCCCAGGGTCTCTCTAAAATTAATGGAGTTGACTCTCATAGTTGGTCTCCCCCAGACCTGGCCAGGGAGGTCGTGTGAACCAGGAGAGCTGAGCCAGGGAGCACGAATGTGCACGGGACTGGGGCCTCTGCTCTTCCTTTGCGGAGCACAGGTTTGATTGTTCAGCCAGACTCTGCTGATGCTTTGGAAATCCCGAGAACTGTGAGGTTCAGCCTCTGGTTTGGAACTTCGTAGCTGCCAAACATGAATCTGAAAACAGTGTAGATGGTTGCTTAAGGTCATTCCTACTTGTTTGAGTGACACTGACCTTTACTGAAGCTCCCTTTCCTTCTGTTGGCCGGGATAGGGTACTGAAGAGGAAAGAGTAGCTCGGTCACAGCACTTTATGAATCATGTTTCTGAGGCATGGGGCACCCGAGACCCCTGCAAAAGGAAACGTGCTGGTACTCGAGGAGGCTGCCGCCCAGCGGGCCCTGGAGCTGTCCCTAGAGACGGGCACAGCAGACCAATGGGAGTGAGCTGGAGTGTCCCCCCAGCCTGGTCCCAGGAGTGTCCCGACTGTTCCCACTCGTGGGGCACTTCCTGGCCATTGAAGAGCGTCCTGCTGTGGGCTTTGGCTGCTGTGGACAGATGGGCAGGGGTTGGGGTCGGGGTCAGGGGCAGTGTTGATAACCTCTGAGAATTCCGCTCTGGCGTCCTGCCTGCCAGAGCGGAGTCTCTTTCCCAAAGCCATCCGTGTCACGTGTGGCTGTGCCTTTTCATATTATTTACGTTATTTATATATTTATTTATTTATGTCCTGCCTTGTTCCAGAAAAGGGTTTAGGGCAGCGATGCTTGGTTTTTGATGTTCTGTTCTGACATTTGGGAAGTTTCTGTCGGCATGTACTTGTTAGGTGAGTTTAAAAAGAGGACAACCAGCAGTTTCCTGTTGTTGACTGTGTTTCAGTTCTCAGGCTTAAGTGCCATCCTTTTTTCCTTCTTCTGAATTGATTTTTTAAATCAAAGGTTCATGTGGAGGTAGAAGGGGAGGAGGAATGTGCAGCAAGCAGAGGTCTGAGTGAAGGAAACAGCCTGAGAGAGAAGTGCTTTGCCTGCGCTTTCCCACGCGGGCCCCAGGAGCTGGGAGGCCGCGCTCCGGCCATGCCTGCCCCCAGGACGTGTGGGGGACACTGCACTGAGCAGTCCCTGTGGCTGTGAACTGCTGGGTGACCTTGTCCCTCCTCTTGGTGGGATGTGCATTGGAGGTGGTGACGGTGCTGGAAGAGCCTGTGACCTTGGGGACCCCACGGGGCAGAGGGCTCTGTGCACGTCCGTAGGACAAGGACACATTAAATAACTTACGAAATCAAGTTTATTCAACCTAAAGATTTATCTTTTATTCTGAGATAATGTCCTTCCTAATTTGGATGATAAAATGGACTTTTATGTAATGAAGGTGATAATAGAGGGCAGTATTTTTATTTTTTAAAATGCTCTTGGTTGGAAGATAAAATGTTGGCTGCTCTTTGTCAGGTCCCAGATTTTAACTTTGCCAGTGTCTGAAGTTGCAGAGTCCGGGAACCCCAGTCTAGCTACGGTGTATGTTTACGTAACGAGGAGAAATTCCTCTTGGATTCTTAAAACAGCCTGTACGTTGTTGCATTTCTGCTGCTCGTAGTCTTAAGAGCAAGCTCCGAGGTCACCGTGTGTGGTGTCAGCAAGTGCCTGCTTATGGGGTGGCATGACAGCTTGCCTGTGGTGACGGGCCTCTGGCCATTCCTGAGTCCATGAGAAACACTCCCCAGAAGTGTTGTGTGGCTTCTCAGTGAGGGCTGCCTTTACCTCAGGCCTTGGGGGCCCATGGCCCCCCGAGTGCTGGTGGCTCTGTGGCATGTTGGTGATGGCGCTCATAGTGGGTCTTCTGGAACTGAGACTTCAGCTTCCACTTCTGTCCCTTGGGCTGCCCGCCAGGCACTCAGTGAGCAGTCCTGAGTGGTCCGGATTCCGCACCAACTTGGAAGTGCCTCATTTGGCCATGTGACCTCTTTCTCCCTGGCTTACTTATTACTCCCTCCAACCCCCCAGAACCTGACCCCTTGGTGTGGAATAAAATAACCGATGTGAACTCATGAATGGTTAGTGGGACTGTGTCCCAGGAGAATTCCATGGGAGGGACGTGCAGATTTTGGAGTGTAGTGAGGTACAGAGTGTATATATATACACTATACATTCTAGGCAGACAATCAGATGAAGTGAGGCGGGGAGAAGGGGTGACTTCTGTGGCCTCAACATGAAGTTGTGCAGTGTCTGGAATGCATGGGCATCCTTTTTTTTTTTTTTTTTTTTTAAGTTGGTTTGGTTTCATATCTCTACCAAGTAATGTCTGAATGTGCATCAGTGCAGTTTGAGTGTGGTGTTGGTGAACGTGTGAAGTCCAACTTGCTGCCGTGGTTTAGCCAGCAGTGTCCCTGCTCTGCCCTGCAGTGTTGGCACAGCTCCCGGGGCTTGTGTGGTCGGCACAAGAATGTGACCCGCAGTGGGCCTGTGTGCCTGGAGACACGCTGACGGGAACGTTCACCGTAGACCCTGTTTGTCCCTCCTGCTTTGGGAATGAAGGCGTGTTTGCCCTCAGCAGCTGGGGCCGCGACTGTTCTTGCACTTGTGCCTGGTTAAGAGTTTCCAAAAGTATGATAGATGTCTTTGATATGCTATTGTAACTTTAATAAATGCTTTATTACCCTTTAATTCAACCCCCCCTCCCCAATGCCTTAATTTTTTGGACTGTTTATCTCAATGGGTAGAAATTGGTCTTGTGAAATCTTTGAATACACATTTCAGCCAAGTGACTGGCTCTCTGGAAAGTTTCTAATGATATGGAGAGAGGAACTTTTTTGAACTGCTCCACGGGATCTTAGTTCTAGAGGGGCACCCAGAATGTGGCACAGATTTAAATTTCTGGCCGAGCCTGTTTTACTTAGTGGGGTTTCCAGTTTGAAGAGAATGTGCCTCTAAAGTGTTTGAAACCCATGGCTTTCAAGCAAGGTGAATTGTCCCTACAGTGCTCTGCAGGGGGAAGTGGTGGAGAACTGTGGGCAGAACCATTGTTTCTGGGTCTCTCTGACAGCGGGAAGGTAAGGTATAAAGCCTTGGGATGAACCCAGGAGTGAAGGAACTAAATAAAGACATTTATTCCTGTCTCAGCGACACTAGCATGTTCTCTGTGTCTGCTGTTTCAGATAATCTTCTTCATTCCTCACACCCTGACCACCCCCCGACCCCTGGCTGCACACACACCTCTCCTGCTCTGCTGGAAACGTGGCCTCACTTTCTTTCTGTCTCAAAACCTGCTCAGTTTGTGTGGTTGAGATTGGGTGGCTTTCCAGCCAGTTGGGTGGCGTATCCAGTATTCATCTGTGATAACAGAGGCCACAGTGTTAGCTGGACACTTAAATTCCCAGAATAGTCTTCATTTCCCAGCCTTCTGTGCAGTAGGTGTGGCTGTTTGCCATAACTCCTTTCTGAAATCCCATTAAATGACCGTGGAATTTTACTTCTTAAAAAATGTACAAATCCACTAAGATGACTGAATAGCAACAAAATTTAGGAATGAAGCTCTCAAGAAAACAGATAAATGGTAACTGATCTCGAAACATCTGAGAAAACCCCCTTGTAAAAAGGAAGTATCTGAGAATCTGATTTCACTGCAAAGCTCCCAAAGGCTCTGGCATCGGCAGCTCAGGTACCCTCGAAGTGGCTGTGGGTGAGAGCGGGAGGACTGGCTGAGAGCCAGGTTGAGACGTAGTCCTGACTCTGCTACACACAGTTGGGCAGCCTGTGTCTGCCCCAGCCCAGTACAAGACCTGCCACGCTCAGCCTTCCGTAGGCCCTCTTCAGCTGGGACTCAGGCTCATGTCCTGCAGGCAGGAATAGAGCAGAAGAGGCTTCTTGGGGAATCTCATCAGCCTAAGGTGTAGAACCAGAAGAAAACGGAGTCGCTTATATAAGTCAGGGATGAAATGGAGATCATTTCATCTCCATTGGTGTGTAAAGGAAGCAATCTTACAGGAATTGAAGGCCCTTCTCAGAAGTCAGCAGAGGATGCTGGCTGGCCCCCAAATACTGGGTCTGTTATGCCCAACTCTGGACTTTTTGTTCCCTGACTCAGCTACCCTCATCCAAATAAGAAAGAACACCATTAGGCAACCAGTCAGCTGAAAAACCAAAGTAGCTTTTGTATTTGTCCCATTAGAGCCCCGTGGTCTGTGAGCAACTCAGAACTCATTGCTTTTGTAGCCCTGAGTTACCTGGTTTGCAGGCTGAAAGCCTTGCGATGGACTCCTCTTTCTGTTTTGTTTAATTCAGTATGCAGTTTGGTTTTTGACAAAGGAAAGACCTAACAGACCAACACTGAATGTGGCCAGCAAATGGTCACATGTCTTACAGTAGATTCCAACAAATCAAGGGAATTCTGAGAACAAAGGGCAGAGTTTCCAGATTACAAGAGCCCATGTAGTGCTAACACAACGGAAGACGACCTGCCAGCACACATCACTGACATTTCAATACTGGAGAAAAGATCCTGCGACTTGTGGAGAGAACAGACAGGACATGTACGAAGTATCAGGTATCAGAAGGGCCCCGGAGTCCTCGGATGCCACACTGGGCCATAGAGGAGGGTGGTCCTTCCCTTTCATAATTCTGACGGGAGTATTTTCGGCTAGATTAAAAGCCAAGCCAAAGACTTGAAGTGTCTTTAAGACATTTATGTCCCACATACCCTTAGGAAACCGTAAGAGGATGTGCCCCACCAAAATGAGGGAGTACACCAAGCAAGGGGACAACATGGTACGCAGGAAATGGGGGACCCGACACCAGGAGGCGACCTGGCCGCGCGCGTAGTGAAAGCCTCCAGGAAGGCGGCTGTGCACCAGAGAAGGTACCCAGGCCGGAGGAGAAGTGGGGAGGCCGCGGAGGGGTCTGTGTCCTCAGACTCCTGCCTCTGAACATGCTTGGGTAGGGGCTGGGATTCAGTTACTGACGAGTTCCTGGGAAACCAAGGGCCGTAGCTCGAGGAGAAAACGATGGGCCAGAAGCAGAGAGCGCAGTAATACTGGCCGACCCCGCGGTGGGGGTGCCGACCTGGTCCTCGCAGCATCGGCACTGAGTCTGAACCACAGCCCTGAGACTTCCCAGGGTGGAGGGTGGGAAGTGTGTGAGGAAGAGCCGCCTCCTCGTTTTCCGGGGGCAGAGGTCAAGAGGCCAAGCCAAATGGAAGGAGGGCTGGGGTGCGAGGGCAGAAAAGAACAGCAAAATGAACCCAAAGAGTAGAGGAGGGGGGAGTAAGAAGCGGCAGAAATTCTTTAAAAAACAAAGGCAAGAGGGCAGCAACAAAGCCAGAAGTTGCTGCTTCCTAAATTAAAATACGTACACCTCCAGGGAGACTAGTCAAGACAAAGAGGTATACCGGTCGCAGGGAAAACGGGCAGTGCTACAGACCACGTTCCCAGTGATAAGGGTACCATCAACAAGTTTGGGATGGGAAATGTGAAAGTCAAATTTCTAGAAAAACAACTCCAAGGAGGGGCTCCGACGGTAACCACACCCACTGCTCTGCGGGAGGTGGCCCTGGAGCGCCACCTTGTAAATCTTGGCGCGTCTCCTTTAAGAAGGAGCGAAGCCCCGCCTCGTGTGGAAAGGTCATTTCCCGGCGCCCATTTTGATGATGTCACGCGGTGCCGGGCCGCTGAGAACCCAGGAGGGGGCGTTCCCCTGCGCGCGGACGGGGTGGGGGCGGGACTTCTGGAGCCGAACTCTCGGCGCTGGTGCGGTCTCTCGCGGTCCTGGCCGAGGACTCCCGGCCGGGGTCCCGGGGGTGTGGCCACGAGTCTTTACCCGGAGGCCGCGTGCTGATGCGGCGGGGCTGGCTCCATCGGGCGGGGTGCCTTGTAAGAGTATCCCGGGTCGGGACCCCCGGGCAGGTCCGTGCGCCGCGTGGCTCGGGCGGAGTCCCCGGCGGAGTCCCCGGCGCCGGGGCGGGTAGAACCTGCCTGTGCCGAGGCGTGCGGGAGCGGCTGCGGCCGGAGCGGCTGCGGCCGGAGCCGCAGCTGGGAGAAACGCTGCAGAAGAGCCGCGGAGGCCATGCGTCGGGGAGGCCCTCCATGCGCCTTCCTGCAGCACCCGGCCGCTCGGTGGGGGGAAGCCCCGCAGCCCCCCAGGGGACGCCTTTCCCTCGGGAAGGCACAGCAAACGAGGGTGCTGCCCGCAGCCACGCCGGAGGACGGCCTGAGGGCAGTGAGTGTGGGAAGTTCTGTAGCCACAGCTCTGGCCTCATCAGCAACGCGGTTCAAGGCCTGGAGAACGGCCTTGAGAGCGCAGCCAGGGCGGGAAGGATGCCTTCGGGGCAGGATCCATACTCGCGGGGCACCAGAAGGTTCACGGGGAAGGGGCTCATAGAGGCCACATCTCAGAGCGCATTCAGCAGCAGAATGTTCACACCTGGGAAAATTCCTTTTAAAGGCACAGAATGAAGCACTGCTCTGATTGAGCATGGAAAATTCAGAGCCTAGAAAGATGTTAGCACAGCAAATGTGGGAAAACCTGCTCAAACTTCAGATTTGTGCTGCATAAGAGCCTTTTTAAGTATGACTAGTGTGGGGAAGCATTAGGCTGCAGATCCAACCTCAATCACCCTTAGCAAATTCACACTCGATGAAGACTCTGAAGGCAGAGATGCTCGAAGTGTCTTACACCAAGAGTCTTCCTCGTTCAGCACCGGCAAATTCACCATAGAGAAAGGCCTTCTGAGCACAGCCAGTGTGAGAAAACCTTCAACCAAGGGCCTTACCTCATTCAGCATCACACTGGAGAAAGGCTTTAAGTGTGCAGGGGATGTGTTCTCTCGTTCACTGTAACAGGGTGTGCGTGGAGAGAAGTTCTGAGAATAGTGTCTGAGGATGCTGTCAGCCAGAAGTTGAACACCCACCTTGGGGATACTGATGAGTGCCAGGTGTGTGGGAGGCTCTTAGGGGCTCTGCTGCACTTTCTCACCTGCCCGGGACCCTTGCCAAAGTTACCTCTGTCAGTGCCTATGGTGGAGGCCATCTCACGAGCTCTGCCGGCTGGGAGGGACTCAACCAGCTGCCTGAGCCCACTGGTGGACCTCATTCTCTTCTTACTAGTTAGGGCATGGGTGTGACTCAGCTTTGGCTAAGAGAACTCGGCTGGGGCCTTTTTGTGGCTTCCAGGGATGGTTTACCTTTTTTTCAGAGATAATTGTTGGCCTCATGACTCCTGTTGGATTTGTCCAGCTTCCAAGTCAAACTTCCAAAGGAACTGCCTTCCTCCCATTATTATGCTGGGTATGGAAATAAAAGCCTTATTGTTCAAACCACCTTTTATCTGGCGGTTTCTGTTTACTATGTGGGGCGGGTTGAGAGCAGAATTGGGGTCTGCAGCATTGAGGGGATGGGTGGTAGGAGGAGAGTTGATGACAGGAAAGAACTCTCAGTCCACTTTTGGCTTGATCTGCTGCCCAAGACCTTCAGGAAGTAATTGAAGGGCTTCGAGACTGGGTCCCCTCCACCTGCCCCCCGCCAGTGCATCTCCAAGCCGTATGAGTTGGGTCTGTTGTATCCAGGGGCTGTGCCACATTCCCCAGCACTGCTGGGGGGAAGCTTTCTTCCCAGGACCTACCTAGGAGCCATGTCTCCTGAAGTCCAGAACCTAGTAGGCAGGTACCATTGATTTGTAAGCCCTACAGGGGCTATCTATGTAGGAGCCATAATTAGTGCAGAAACTAATAGTAGGGAGTGGGGGAGACTGGCAAAATTAGAGGGGATGTGCCCCTTGTAAGTGGGCATTCATAAATGTTCTAGTAACTGTAGCTTTGCAAGATGATTCTCAGCATCTTTAGACCTGTATCCTTCCTATAGCTAGCCCACGTCGGAGTTTCTCTCGTCATTATTACCACCATGAAAAGACCAGCTCAGCAGCTCCTGGGGCTCCAAGGCCCTTGCTTTGGTCAGAATCACCATCAGCCAAAGGTGATAGCTTGATTAATTCTTAATGCCAGTGCTGGCCAGAGATTACTAGCATCCCATTTCCCGCTGGTAATGAGCGCAACACTGCTTAGGATTAGTAGGAGTACAAAGCACTTCCCAAATCCCCATCTGTGCAAGTCTATCCCTTGTGATTACTCCTG